CATCTTTATAATCACATTGCCTGTTACTAACCACGGGCTTCCCTGGGGGCTCAGCTGGTAAAGAGTCTGCTTGCAGTGGGTTCCATGCGTGAGTTGGGAAGATCCTCTGGAGAGGGGAAAGGCTGCCCACTTCAGTATTCTGGCCTAGACAATTCCATGGACTGTGTAGGCCATGGGGTCACAGAGAGACATGACTGAGCGACCTTCACTTTCAGTCACTTAACTGATGTTTGGCATTGGGCAGGTCACTTAATACTCCCTTGCCTTAGTTTCCTTTTCTGGAAAAGTTATAACCAGTCAATACAGTTCAGTGATTTGATACATACGTACGTATGCCCAAGTTACCCTCATCATCCCCGAAGATTCCTGCCTGTTTTCTTTGGTCAGTCCTGACTCCTCTCAGGGGTGAGCAGTGTCCTTAGTTCTGTTTACTTAAGTTCGTCTTTCCTGGTCTAGAATAGGAAAGTGAATAACCACAGTCTAATGGTTTTCACTTGTCTTTTTATTTCATTCTTTTTGCTTTGTTGACCTCTAGTACTGTGTAGAATAGAAACATTGAGGGCATTTGTTTTTGGTTCATTCTTCATGGTAGGGGTAAAATACTTAGTATTTCATCAAGTAGGTAATATAAGCTGCCTGGAGGTTTTTCAGTCAGATTGAAGAAATTCTTTTCTATGTCTAGTTTGCTGAGTTTTTGTTTTAATCAGAAATGAGTGTTGAATTTTGTCAGTGCTTTTTTGGTTCCTATTGAGATAATCTTGTGACTTTCATCCCTTGTTTTTTTAATGTGTGTTAAATTGACTTTAAAAACTATTAACTATATTCTGGACTTAATTTCTGTTTTGCAGATTTTTCCATTAGTGTCCTCTTTCTATTCTGGGATCCAGTCCAGGGTACCACATTGTTGTCCTGTCTCCTCTGGTCTGTGGTGGTCTGTAGGTCTTCCCTTGAGTTCCACAACCTGAACAGTCTAAAGAAGTGTACTGCCCAGGTGTCCCGTGGAATGTCTTCTAACTGGCCTTGTCTGGCGCTTTTCTCGTGGCGAGACTGGGGTGATGGAGTTTTTGGAAAGAACGCCGTGGAGGTTAGGTGTCCTCACCCCGTTTGCAGCTAGCTGTGTGCAGGACCTCCCTGGCAGTGTGAGCCTTGGTCAAGTGCCGAGATAGCCTTGGTGGCCAGGTGAAGATGGTAATTCCCTGACGCTCTTTCACTTTCTTTACTCTACTTTAGCGCCCAAGGTGAGCAGGAGGGACTTAAGTGCCACCTCTGGAGAAGGAGAGTGTGTACATCTATTTAGAATTCTTCTTGAAGGGACATTTGTTAAATTGACTGATTTTTGGATGTTAAACAACCTTATGCTTCTGGCTAAACCTTCACTTGGTCATGACATGTTTTCCTGTTTTGTTGGATTCCATGTGGACAGAGAAGCCTGCGGTGCTAGAGTCCACAGGTCCCAAACAGTCGGACACTACTTAGCGATGGAACAACAACATGTAGTTTTATTTTATTAAGCAATTTTGTGTCTGTGTTCATGAACAAGATTGGTCTGCAATTTTCTTCTCTTGTAATTTTTGCACAATTTATTAATAATTGCTAGTCTTTTTAGTTTGTAAGTTTTAACTCTCGGTGGAATTAGAATTGATTTTTATTTATGATATAGAATTATTCTCTATCAAATATTTTACAAGCTTTAAAAACTTTTGGAAAGTTTTTAGAAGCAGTGTTCTGTATAGCTTTCTATTTCAGAGAACTACCCAGTTCCCGCCCCTCAGATTTGGGATGGAATTTTGAATTTTCTTTCAAAAACTGAGATCACAAGTTCATTTCAGAGTTAGCTAGAGAATGTAACAAAATATGTAAGTCTGTGTCTTGCTGCCTCTTAGAGTTTCTAATTATGTATGTATGTTCAGACTTTGGTGGGCTTGTCTATTTTGTAAAGAACTTTCATGATGATTTTCATATGCATTCTCTGTTAAGTATTAGAAATACATCTTTCAGGTTTTTAAGATAATTAAATAGCTAAAAATCAAATCTTTTGAATATTTTTGGCAGTGTCTATATAAATGAAGTCAGAATCAGGGTAACTTAATTTTTATATTGTTACCCAGCACTGCCCTTCAGTGGAATTTTACTTGTGAGTGGAATATTGTGAATATTTGTGAATATTCCATTCATAAGTATTTCTCTGCAGAGAAAGTCAGCATTATGGCAGATAGGTAAGTTAATTCTAAGTACACGGCCAAAGAAGATGCCCTTTTTTTGAGACTAGTGTTTAGAGTAAGAGGTAGTGAACAGTGGCTGAAAGAGTGAGTCTCACTCAGTGTTGTCAGGTGACCTATATCTGAGGCAGCTGAAGCCAGCAGTTTTTCAGCTTCAGCTCAGGGCTTGTGTAATCCTTGATGAAGTTCAAATGGACCTGGACCCTGAGCGTGAACCAGAAGTTTGCATCCCAGGATATTCTGTCTCTCCAAAAGTTGACCTTGTGCCATCCTTTTTGTGGTCAGGCCCTCCCTCCATTCCTAATCCTCGGTAACCAGTGCAGCTTTGTCTCTTGGAGAGCGTCATATGTGGAATTGTTGCAGTGTGTCCCCTTTTGAGTGACTCATTGTGCCTTTTGACTTCTGTCATACGGCATGATGCCTTTGTGATTTCATCCCAGTGTTTGTATCGTTCCTTCCTCTTTTATTGCTGAAAGAGCGTTCCATAGTTTGGATGTACAACAGTTTGTGTTCACTGTTGTTTCTATTTTTGGTCATCCAAAATAGAACTGTAAAACTTTCCCTGCAGGTTTTTACATGAACATAAATGTTCATTTTTCCTGAGTAAATATCTAGCAGTGGTAATGCTGGGTTATAGACTAGAATTGTTCGTTGATTTGTTTCTGGTAGCCTGTAGTGTTTGTTGCAGAGAAACAGTTTTCAGCTTGTCTTTGTTAGATTTCTTAGCTGGAGATTGTATGTAGAATAAACTATATTAGTTTCAGTACTGTCATGTTTTACATTAAACTTGCTTGTAAAGTGTTTGAACTGTAACTACTGTTAATGATTGAACTAAAAATGACTACTGTAATAAAATCTTTGCTTTATTGGTAGTGATTTCTTTTCCTCCTCGCTGGCCTTGCCGCTTATAGTGTGGTCTGTGGACCTGCATGTTGGCTTCACCTGGAGCTTGTTGGAAATGCAGAATTTTAGACCCCCACCTGCAGAATCAGAATCTGCATGTTGGCAGGATTCCCAGTGATGAGTATAAACCTTCAGTTTGAGAAGCACTGTTCTGGAGCACTAAGAGGTGCAGAAGAATAATGTTTTGTAATGAGCTGACTCTTTGCTTGGTTTAAGCGTAGTGCAGGATGAACATAGCTGGGCCCATCTCACACGTCATTCCTGTGTGGTTTCAGATGTTCAGTCAGATAGAAGTAATGGTGTCAAACCAGCAAAACAACAGAATGCCAGCATTCTGGTGCTTTAAAGTTCTACAGTATACTGAGTATCAGAATACTGAAAGGTGGTTTTGCAATCATTAGGCTAAAAGTTACAGTTTACATTCAGTATTTTATTTTCAGGCATTGATTCTCTACTATAGGGTTTAATAGAAATGAATGTGCATTTTTTACACAGAAAATGTTGGGGAAAGAGTCCAAAATGATTGTATCATTTTCTTTCTCTTGCACATTTTCTAGTGAAGTGGTTCATTTTTGTTTCTATTAAGAGTAAAGGACATGTAAGAATTATGAGTGATGAGACTAAAGGAGCAGTTTTTTTTTTTTTAAGTTTGCAAAAAGCATAAATGAATCTAGCAGTCGGTAGGTACCTATCTTATTACCTGACAGTAGGTCACTAAGATCTAACATGAGATGAAAGTGATTAGTGTCAGAAGGAACATGAGTTAATACAGTAAGAATTGTTGATGAAGAAATTATTGTAGTTTGGGACTAGATTAAACAAAATTTTTGTAGGAATACTGCTATAATGAAGTACAAGATAAAAACTGGTTTTAAGGACTCGGCTGGTGGCACAGTGGATAAGAAGCCGCCTGCCAATGTAGGGCACACAAATTGGAAACCACCTGCTGCTGGTCAGTTAAGCCCATGCGCCACAACTGCTGAGCCTGTGCTGTAGGACCTGTGAGCTGCAACTACGGAAGCCCGGGTGCCCTAGAGCCCGTGCTCCGTAACAGGACGAGTGTGTGTCCTGCACCAGGAGAGGAGCCCTGCTCGCCACAGCTGAGGAAGGCCTGTGCGGGGCAGTGATGACCAGCATAGCCATAAATAGATGAACGAAAAAACAACCCAAAATGGGCTTTAGTCTGAAGTGAATGAAAAAATAATAGTTTTGTGGTTAATAGTCTGAACCAGAGGTAGAAACTCACAAACCCTGGTCAGTGGGATGAAGTAGAAAGGGGTGAGAAATGATGCAGGAACGACTATACAGGCTGAGAGAACCAGAGAAGCCAAGCAACCCAACAGTGGATTTGGAGCACTTGGCTGCATCAAAAGTCAGAGTAGACGGGGTCAGGAGTGCCAGGAAACGTGGCGCCTGTTTGGTGGGAAGGAATGTGCTGTCATTTAACGGGAGCTACAGGCAGGTTCTATGCTGGAATCAGGCTCAGGGACTCTAGGGTTAGTTTAATTAACATACTGAACTTTGTTTAGACCTGAATTAGAGTCTAGGCCTGCAGGGATGTTTGGAATTCATGTTTGTTCTCTCTTAGAAGTATAAGTAGTTACAATGTATAAGACTTTGGTTTATTAGCTAGGAGTAGAAATTTGAATTTTTTCTAACATTGTTAATTTTTAACAGTAAAGGTTTTGTCTTCTGGGATCAGTTTAATGTTTCACATGGCTTTATAAATGGGACATTGTGCTATATTTTTACATCTTTATTATAAGAGCTTTTATGTGTGTGTGCACATATGTGTATGCATAGCCATTGTTCAGGATTTAATTCAGAAGAGTATGAGCTCACTTTCCCTCCTTGCTCTTTTGTCTGTCTGCCATGTAGGGAGGCATGGAGACTTTGGAGCTGCAGAAGGACATCAAAGAAGAGTCAGATGAAGAAGACGATGATGATGAAGAATCTGGACGATTACGTTTCAAAACTGAAAGGAAAGAAGGAACAATTATTAGGCTCTCAGATGTAACTAGAGAGAGAAGGAACATTCCAGAAACTTTGGGTAACATTTTTTACCTGTCTCCCATCCTCCTTCATTCCCATTTCAACTTCCTCTATAGTGCTGTTATGATTAATGAAGTAGATAAAAAACAGTTGACTTTATAGACTGTTATGCATGGTGTCCAGAAGCTGGATGGTCTGTATGAGGTGAGAACTGAGTTAATGGTGCTATAAAAGTCATTCTATAAAAATGACTTGTCTTCCGGATTAAAAAATGTTTGAATAAAATATGTTTTTTTTAATAGTTTTCCTTTTGTAGTCCGTGACTTAGACTTGCTCTCATGCATGCTGTGTGGTTCCTGGCTGGCTCTGGGAACGTGACGTCGGGGTGATGCAGGGTCGTCTCACCCTTCCCAGGTTGCCAGGGCTCCTTTTGGACCAGACTGGTTTTATTTTGTGCCTTTTTGTCATCATAGCCGTGTCTTTCGTGTGTGTCTCCCTCTGTGCCATTCCTCTGGGCGTTCAGTGAGACAAGGTGTCTTGTTTGTCGCACCGTCAGTTGCACACATTCCTGTTGCAGACCCACAGCAGGCTGTTGCTGATGAACAGAGCCTTTGCCAGTTTTACCCTGCCCCCACTCTCCTGGAATTCTTTCCAGTGCCCACTGCAAGGAGTAAAGCAGTGGTCCTCAAATTTGAGCAACAGAATCCCCCAGAAGACTTGTTAAGACACATACTTCTGGATGCACTCTCAGCTGCTCTGTTCAATAGGTTTAGGGTAAGGCCCAAGAAAGTTGAATTTCTGATGAGTTTGCAGGTAGTGTTGTTCCTGTTGCTCCAGTGTTCACACTTGCAGAACCACTCAGGTACTGTCTCATATTCCAAGGAGTAGGGTGGGAGGGTGGAAGAACAGAGGGTTATACCTGTTCTCCGGTCTTGGTCAAAGTAAAATGAAGAAACCATCAGTTACTACCTTTATTACTTCATAAAACCGTTACCTGTAGCCACTTGCCATTGGAAGCCTGAGCATGTGTCTGCAGTGCAGGAATGAATTCCCCGTGAGAACACCAGGCTCTCAAGGTGCCCACCATAACAGTGTGAGCCCGTCTTACCATGTCATCCCTCAGTGAGGTTTGTGGAGAGATTGACCTGGAATCTTAGCGTTCTCTATGCCTTTCCCTTTTGCTTTCCTGCTTCTAGCTTTTGGCCCAGGCTCTTCCCTGGACTTTGCTCAGGTTATGGTATTAAGTTGTTTGTTGGGTGAATCAGTACAGCATAGGCTTCTAAGAAGGAGCTGAGAAGTTGGCCTTGGGTAAAAGGAGATGGAGCAATCTTAGGTCTTAAAACAAGGGGATGGGAAAAAAGGAAAAGTATCGTCAGCAGGAGTGATTGGCAGCGTTACATACCAAGCATACTGGAATAGACATCCCAGTCTTGGACTGGGTAAGACAGACAAGGGAAAGATGGCGCCCCCGGCTGCTCACAGATGGCGCCCCGGCGGCTTGTTAGGCAAGGAGAGGGCCGTCGCGGGGCGGGGTGCGGTGAAGCCTCCCTTCTGCTTCTGTGTAGCTGGGCTGTGGCTTTATTACATAAATCTGGGAGCTGTACGTTATATCTTAATAAGTGTTAGCTGCACGTTCTAAGGGTGTGAAGTCAGCTCTCAGACACCCTTAGGAATGGTGGCCTTTGCTCTCTGCAGCCAGCTGCTTATGGGCTCTGGTGCACTCTATAGATCACCCCCTCTGCACCCCCAGAGCCTCCGCTCCTCCCGTCCCCTGATCCTCAGGTACGGTTATCTCGCCTCTGTTCGCTTGAACTTGACCCAAGCACTGACAAGTTCTGAAGTGTCCGACTTGCCTGTGTTCATAATTTGTACTTGTTTTATTCCTACATTGCTTTTTTTTCAGGATCTTTGCCTCATTTGGTTCTTCACAGGGTCATTTGTACTTCTTTTATTAAAGAATTTGTGTTGCTTTTTTTTTTTTTTTTAAGTCATTTCTTAGTTCTGTAGTCATGTCATCCTGAGACAAGAGGCTGGAAAGGGTTAGTAATGGGCAGGTTGGCCCTTTAAATATGGGTGGAGAGGCAAGAGTGGTTGAAGCATAAACAGTTTGACCATTTACCGTTGTTTTAAACGTTAAGAGAAAAGCCTTTAAATGTATTTGTGCAGAATGTGATTCTTTGGCTAGATAATAGGGCAATAAAATTGATGATAAGAAGTATCTTTCTCTGTTCCCTATTTGTAAGCCCAGTGTAGGCGAGCTACAGTAGGAAAGCTCTGTTTAAAAACAGGTTTTCATTTTTCTAGAAAAATTAATATTATTCCCAGTATAGAAATGATTTTTCTATCCATCTTAGAGTTTGGTTTCCTAAAACAGTGAGCACCCTTGTTTCCTTAACACCCCTAACCCCCACAAAAAGTTAATTTTATACAGAAGAAAAATACTCATTGAGAAAGAGAAGCTCCTGTAGTATTTGGTATACTAGAAATTCACATGAATTTTTACTCATCACTTTGTGTGCTCCTGGTGATAGAAACACCAGTTTCAGGTTTTGTATACAGATGCTTGCATTGATTTGACTGTATAAAGCTGCTCACATACTCTTTGTAATGGGATTAAAATATCTTGGTACCAGAGTATGTATATCATCTCCTATGATGGATTTTTCTTGACAGTTGATATCTTTTAACATTCTGAATACAAATAAAGGCAGTTATTTTGTGATACCATTGATTACTTTTGAGAACACTCCACTCTACAAAGAAGAATGAAATAATGTTCTGGCCTGGAAGTAGTGAGTTCTCTTCAGAATCTGGTAGGGCATTCAGTCACTTTTAGTCTTATTCACATTCAGATGTATGATGTCATCCTTAAGTAATTCATGTTTGTGACAGTCTTGACCGTTATGGAGCCTGAGACATAGATGTTGATCTGTATTTTCAGTCCATATTGGATTAGGCGTAGAATTTTGGGCTTTTACTTGAGTTACGATGTTAAGTACTGAGCTTTTGTCCTCAACCAGGATTCTGGGAATTAAATACCTTAGAGAAAATGTGACATTATCAGTTTTCCCAAGGATGGTACAAAGCTATATACTTAGGAGACAAGTTTTTCATTATATAAAAAGGATCCCATAGGATATGAGGGCTTAATTCTCTCACAGAATAGAGTTGAAAAGGGTTTCTAGAACATGCATGTGTAAGAGAAAGATTTATTTTGAATGGCAAAGTCTAAAGCCATCTCTAAAACATGGGGGTCACTGACCAGTTACCCTGAAGTGTCAGCACAGAGGTTCAGAGGGGCCAGTTCTTTTGCCCTAGGAGGTAGACCTCAGATTCTCTCTGGAAGCAATACCAGCGGAAAACGAAAGACTGCTTATTTTAGTTAGGCTTTTATAATTTGTAATCTGTGAGTAAGCTTCTAGGTTTTCCCATATTCCAAGTTTCATTAGGCACAGGCAATACGTTGAATTATGTTTCATTGCTTTAGCCTGAAGAACATTGTTGTTAGGCCCACATAATGTTCTCTTGAAATAATATCCTTGGTTAATTTTGCTTAAGGCAGATGATCTTTGAGGAAAACATTTTTTTTAATTGATATACAAATTGTGTATTTATACAGCAGAATACTCCAATAGAGAGAAGAAATAAACATCTGCAGTAACATACAATTTTTTCATATGTTAATAAACAATTTAAGATCACTAGTGCCAGCAGTAAGATGACTACCTTCAGTTTACACAATGGTCCTTGCATTTGCAAGGTTTTCAGAAATTTCTTGATTCAATTATCTTGTTTATTAAAAGAAACCAAAAAACCACAACCAAAAATAAAAACCTCAGAATGTCATTTGTTGTTTCTATTTTGCCAAATAAACGGTATTTTATAGATATTCATTATGTATTAAAGTATTTTTATGTAGATATGTTTTTCTTAAGCACATTTTAGAAAGGGACAACACAACGTAAAACTTTGTTACATTACACTCTTATCTCTTTACTTTGGAATATGGACCTAGTTCAGAAAACACTTAAGCGGAAATTAACATTTCAGTTGAAGTTACAAATGTAATTTCCATCCTGTCATATTTTGGTGACCTTTTGTGACAGCTTGTCTCAATTGGAGGAATGCATTTTTACTTGCTGATTAAAGATGTCATTTGAAACCATTTTATTACTGGGGATAGTGAAATTAATCTTGACACTTAGAACCACTAGAAAAATAATTGCTGATTCACCACATAAAATGTGTATGTGAACCTATCATGTAGTCAAGATTAGAATAAAAGTCTGTGCTTGTTAAGAGGAGATTAAATTTTCTTTGGAATGGAGTCTAGATCCTTTTGAAGGGAAGGGGGATACCTTAGAAACAATTTCAAGAAAATGAAATGTGGCTTAGAGATTTTGGAAGAGTTTGGAGATGATTATGGAATCCAAGGTAGGGGAAAAACTGGTTATATTCAAAATTTATTACCCTTTGCTGTGGAAGAAGTCATGGGAATGCTTCTTAGTAGAATTCAATGAAATCTTTGAAAGGTGTTTACTAATAGAGCATATATTATAATAACTTAGAACTGTATTTGAATAAGTTAGCCTTTTTCTTCTAAGAATTCAGAATAATGTGCCTACTGAAGTTTTGTAGGGCCAGAAATTTTGATTGTTGCCCCATAGCTTTGGTCAGAGAGGAGAGCACCATTTTGTGTCTTTGCTGTCATTTGCTGTAGCTTCCCTGTCAGGTGGCATGGATGTATGTCTGTCTTCACAGAGTAACGTTGTTGTTGTTTTTAAATAAATCAGAAAATCTGACTTGGTATAGTACTAAATGAGTTTCCGTTCTTTATGAAATTTAATTATTTGGCTTGAGAGTGATCTTATTAGTAGTTTTGCTTTTAAAGCAGGAACAATCAGTAATTTGTAATTTTTGAGTCTCTGTGCCACTGTGAATTAATCAATACTTCTACTGGATTCGCATAGATGAGTGTCTTGGTTTAGGACTGGGGTAGCCAGGTCTTAACCAACGTCATCTACCATCAGTGAAAGAACGTGATACCTAGCAGATGAGGAGTGGTGGTTGGGTTGAACTTCTTCAGCTCCTCGTTTTTAGCTTTCCTCAGCACATTTTAGTGGTCTCAAATGAAAATTCAAATTTACAGGTGGTACTTGTATTTTAAGGAAGAAGCGTGTCTTCAGGTAACAGGTCTCACTCACGGGGTCTGGGTGTGTCTGATTGTATCCTACCCCTCGCTGCTTACTGCCGCTAGTGGAATTGTTTGTTGTTGGTGAAGCACCGGCTGTTCCTGAGTTTCCTTGTCACATACTTGTTTTTTTGGTTTGTTTCTCCCTATAGATCTGATTTCACCTCTTTGAAGGTATCTAACGCATATGCATCTTTTCAAATAGAGCTTTCAGCAGAAGCCAAAGCTGCGTTGCTTGAATTTGAAGAGAGGGAGCGACAGCACAAACAGGGCCGCTACGGCTCCAGGCGGGGAGGAAGGAGAGGAGGCTCGTCCATGTGCCGTGGTGTTGGAGACCAGAGGAGAGAGAGCAGCGAGAGGGGGCGTGCCAAGGACCACAGGCCCGCCCTGCTGCCCACACAGCCGCCTGTGGTGGTGAGTTGCGCAGCTCCATCCTGGGAGCCTGCACGCTGAGAACAAGTGAAAGTTCTCTCTGGTATGGGTTTCGTGTTTTGCATTTGCCTTAGTCTGAGATGAGAATTTAGTAAAAGGCGTCACGGCTCAAGTTTCTTTATAGCCTGTGGTATGATTTCGTTGGTGTTGTTCAGTTGCCAAGTCATGCCTGACTCTTTCTGACCCCATTCACTACAGCACTCCAGGCTTCCCTGTCCCTCACCATCTCACACAGTTTGCCCAGGTTCATGTCCATTGAATCGGTGATACCATCCAACCATCTCATCTTCTGTTGTTCCCTTCTCCTCCTGACTTCAATCTTTGTCAGCATCAGGGTCTTTTCCAGTGAGTCAGCTCTTTGCATCACGTGGCCAGAGCTTCAGCGTCAGTCCCTCCAATGAGTGTTCAGGGTTGGTTTCCTTTTAGGTTTGACTGGTTTGATCTCCTTGCAGCCGAAGGGACTCTCAAGAGTCTTCTTCAGCACCATAGTTCAAAAGCACCTTTTCTTTGGTGCTCAGCTTTCTTTATTGTCCAGCTCTCACATCTGTTCATGACTACTGGAAAGACCATAGCCTTGACTATATGGAAGCCTTGACTATACAGACCTTTGTCAGCAAGATGCTTTTTGCTTTTAACACACCGTCTGGGTTTGTCATAGCTTTCCTGCCAAGAAGCAATTGTCTTCTAATTTCATGGCTGCAATCACCATCTGCAGTGATTTTAGAGCCCAAGAAGAGGAAATCTGTCACTGCTTCCACTTTTTCCCATTCTATTTGCCATGAAGTGATGGGACCAGATGCCAAAAAATCCTAGTTTTTTAATATTAAGTCAGCTTTTTTTCACTCTCCTCCTTCATTCTCATCAAGAGAGTCTAGTTCCACTTCACTTTCTTCAATTAGAGTGGTATCATCCGTATCTCTGAGGTTGTTGATGTTTCTTCTGGCAATCTTGATTCCAGCTTGTAGCTCATCCAGTATATGGTCTTAAAAATCCAGTCTTCTAGTATTGAGGTAGTGAAGACTAATTCTTTGCCAATACTGATGAAGAAAGAAGCAGTGAGAGAGCTGATGTCTTCCAGGGGTCGAACCACAGAGGAACCTTGCTCATCTCTTCTGCTATGGAGGGGTACTGCTCCTGTGAGCACCATTTCTCTGTTACATGGAGAATCTAGCCATAATGATGTATTTCATAAAATATTTTTTCTTATATACTGCTTACCATAGGTTTTTCCTTAAATGTAGAAGTTTCTCTTACAAATAACTGTCATATCCTCTCCATAGAAATGGAGGTTGTCATAGCCATAAAAAGTTTTCATAATTTAGGAGTAAATTATGTAATTTCAGATTAGTTTGAATTTCTCCGTATTTCAAAGGTGAGACATCGCAGGAACAAAGACGGGAAGTGTAGTGGTTTTTCTGGTGGTGGTTCTTTCAGTTAACTTTAGTATTTTATAGTTTTTCCTTCAGAAGTTAGTCTTCAGGGACAGATTTATTTAATGTAAATAAATAGTTTGCACTGTCTACCCTCCTGCATTATTACATGAGTGTAGGGGAAAATGACACCTGACCTCGGTGTAGAAAATTGTGTTTTAGGAGGCATTCATTTGTGAAATGACAAAGTAGAAAAGGTGATTTACTGTTTTCGCATGAGAATTCTGATTTCAGTGAACAGGGAAGAAAGGCAGGTGGGTTGATCGCGGCATAAAGAGATTGGTGATATTGATAGCTGCTCCCCGCTCACACAGCCATTTGTGTTTAAGCTTTTCTGATATTAGCAGGAAGATTGTCGCTTCAGTTTTTCCCTTTTCTTCCCCATCTTGTCTCCTTGTCCCCAACTTCCATTGTGTGTGTCCAATAGCCAGCTCCATGGTTTTGGCCTCCGAAGGGGGAAACAGCCAGTAGGTGACCATGGTCCTGGAAAAGTAACTGAACTCCCTACTTTCTTACACATACGGAGAGGCTCATCTGGGAGCCCTGAGTGCTTTAAAAGTGTAGCTCAAGTGTCAGTTGACCCAAGTCCCTCTTGACAACAGCATCGTGTCTGGAATTCTCTAGGTGCCAGGGCTTTTCTAGGTGCCAGCGGGCTCACCCACTGCTGGCCCAACTCAGCCTGCCGGGGCCTTGGCCTGTGAGCTGTTTGCACGTCTTTGCTAGCAGTGGTATTTTAAAGCTGTGGGTTGCTGACGCAGTCACAGCTTTCTGACACGGCCTGACCTTGCTCCCCTCGTGTCCACCTTGGTCCTGGTCACCCCCCACCCCAGAGCTGTCTGTGCCTTCGATCCCTTTTCTGCCGTGGCTTTCCTTGTGTCTGTTTTCTCCTTGGTCCATCTGTTGGCGCTGGCACTGTGCTCCTTCCGCTGCCGAGTGCTCTGAGAGTGGCCTCCTCCCCTCTGCAGTCGGTCCTGGTGGACTGCTCTCTGGGGCCTTGGATGTCACCTGTGAGCTCGCCTTTCTTGAGTGTCTGAGGTTGGGGTGTAGTCCCTGCTCTCCCAGCAGGGCCCCTTCTCTCTCTCCTGTCTCTCTGGCTGCGTTGTTCTCGGGCCGGTTTCTGATCGGAGCTCTCACTCGGCAGCACTGTCCTCCCTGCCATCTGCTGTCTCTGCGTGAGTCTGCTCTCTAGCCCGTGCCGCTTGCCAGCGCAGTCTCTTCATTTCCTAGCTGCCCTGGGCGTCTCTGCATGGCTGTTGCCCAGCCCTAAACTCCCCTTGTTTGGGACATGTGGTTTCCTTAAAAGTCCTTCACGCTGTCGAGTAAGTGGCCCCGCGCTGTGCGCTTTCCCAGTTGAGTTCAGGTTTAGTTTAGCTGTCCCTCTGTCAGTGCGGTGTCCGTGCAGATTCAGTGCTGAACGGGGTAGAAGAGACTGCTTCACGCACAGCTGTGCACGTTACAGATACCAAGTGTCAGAGGAGGGAACAGACTAGTCTCTGGGAGCTGGTGTACCACGGATAGAGAAGTCCTCCCTGAGGAAGAATAGGTTAGACAAGGTCGTCTACACTTGGGTTTCAGAATTCTCGGACCACGGCTATTTCTTTCATTCAGCTCCCAGCGTCCATAGCCTGTTAAATGGGCCATCTTCTTCTGTCTCCTTTCCCCTTGTCTGTCACACACTGTTAGTCGTCGTCGTCGTCAGACACTGTAGAGCCTCCGGAACTGAATTCAGAAGCCTCTGAAGTCTGGCATCATCCTGGGCAATCAGTGCACAGGATGCCCTGGCTAGTAGTAGCCTGCTGCCTCTGCCGCTGTGTGCGGCCAGTTGGATGAGTGCTTACAAGCAGGGCTTGTGGAACCAGGTTCTCTGCTCCTCTGCTTACCAGCTGCTTGATCTTGTAAGAGGAGGGTCACGACAAGGGCCGGCTTCATAGGCTTGTTGAGGGTGAGTTACTCCACATACAGACCTTTCAGCGCATGCTTAAGACACCGGCGGAGGGGAGGAGGCCCGGTACTCTTGAGGTTGCTGCTGTGGTGGGGGTCTCCTTCTCTCAAGACTGTTGCGCTGAGTAACCCCGAGATCCTTGACCGCATCCAGGGTGTGTGTTCCCACTCCTGCACCCTCCGGTCTTCGAATGCGGCTGCAGCCGTGCTGGTCCCCATGTGCGCCTCCGGGCGTGTGTTCCGCCTCTGCTGCTCTCAAGTGATGCCATTCCACTCCTTGCCTAGCTCCTTCCTCTCCTTCCTGGTTCAGAGGCCACCCTCTCAGAAACTGCCCCTCCCCTCTGGGAGCCCTTCACCCTCTCTGCAGCCTGCTTTCTAGTGGGGTTGCTCCTGCACTGCCCACCCATCTCATAGGCTTTCTGGAGGAGGAGTGAGCCAGCCCAGGCAGCTTGTGCTCTGCCTGCAGCTCTTGGCTCGTGATGGGCAGTTCTGATGGTTGACTTGCAGTTTTTCCCTTTTGGAATCCACGCATCGTGTTTGGGGGCTGCGGTCTTCCCTCCTTGTCCTGATGTTGGCTCACGTCGTTAGACAGTAGCCCTAACCGTGAGCAGGCGGAGCAGCTCATTTATCCTGCTGTTGTATACAAGTTGTTAAAATAAACTTACTTCTGAGTCAACTCTTACAGTGCACTCAGTGTAAAATCTGTCAGGCGCTGGCATTTTTCTTGTGAGCGTTGATTGCTGTGACTTTCTCTCTTGGTGGTTTTAGACGTACTCTCCAAGATTAATTCCTCCTCCACAGCCTCAGCCACCGCCGCCGCCGCCGCCGCCTCCACAGCAGCCGATCCGCAGTCTGTTCCAGCAGCAGCAGCTCCAGCCCCTGCTGCCCCTGCAGCACCCGCACCACCCCTCCCCTCCACAGGGGATGCACATGCCGCCCCAGATCGAGGCCCCCCGGGTGATGATGACCCCTCCTCCTGTGACCCCGCAGCAGCCCAAGAACATACACATCAACCCTCACTTCAAAGGGGCCGTGGTGACGCCCGTTCAAGGTACGTGTCTCCTTTGCTGTGGTCAAGTTCCAGGAGACTATGGCCAGACCATCTCACTTGCAGGTCCGTAAGGACGCTGTGGGCTCCCAAGTCTTTCCCCACCGCTCAGATGCACACCGGCTGGCGAGCCAGGCCCCTTTCTCAGCTGTGTGTCTCCTGCCACGTCCCTCGGGGGTACCGAGAATACACGCAAAGGTGCAGCGCGTCAGAGGCCACTGTGGTGGTGTCTGCCTGGCGTTCCTTGTCAGCTCCTGGTGGGGCTGAGTGCGAAGGGCCTGTCCCCTCAGCTTCCACTCATGGTGCTTCCTTTGAGTTCTAGAGGGACACGCCTGTCTTTTCGTGGTCAGTTCTGATGGCATGATCACGGACGCACGTTCCTGAAGCGAGACGCTGCTCTCCGTGGCGTTGGAGGTCTGTCGGTGGGCACGGTGGTCAGCGCTTGCTGTGGGTGTTGTCTAGCACCTTAGCAGTGACAGTGAGCAGTGAACGTGATTGATGAGAGCCCCGTGTGGCGCGTTGGGGAACGAAAGTTCCGTGCTGAGGAGAGCAGGGGGAGCCTCTGTGGCGGCGGGGGCCAGCTGCACTGCGAAGGGAAGACCAGGAGGGACAGGAGCTGCTGGCCTGCCTGTCAGGGGAGGCGTCTTCCAGGTGGAGGGATCGGCTGGTGCACAGGCGCCTCTTTTGATGAGGGCTGTGCCTTTTGTATTCCGGTAACTAAAGACAAACCAGGAGACAGTTAGTGGAGTGCAGCGGTGGAGAGAAATGTGGAACCTTGTCATGTGAGACCTGGGAGCCGTCCTGAGAGCTTTGCTTTTGTTCCAAATGAGCTGGGCTGTGGGTAGAGGAGTCTGAGCACAGGAGTAACATCGTCACTGTGTGTTTGACAGGGATTGTTTTTGCTGCTGTGTTGAGAATGGGCTTGTGAGGGTGGCAGGAGTGGAAACCAGGTATTCAGCTGGGAGGTAAGTGCAGTGATCAAGGTAGCCTGGTAGAGGCTTGGCTCAGGGTGGCGGCGTGATCAGGAGTCAGAAGCTGGGTGTAACTCAGGACGGAGCTGATGGACGAGCTGTGTGTGGGTGGGAGAGAAGAGCCTGAGCTTCGCTGAAGGGGCTTGCCGTCACGGGAGAGCACCCGAGGCCGAGCAGGCTTTCAGGGAAGACCACGGGCTCTGTGCTGGAGCTGCCCCTAGGCACGAGGCGCGCGGGTCTAGGGCGAGGCTCCTGCAGAGTGTGCAGGTGAGGCCTGGTGCGAGGCGCAAGTGGGGCTCTGCTGGTGCTTGAATGGCCCTGGCGCCCACACACGCGAGAGACCCTGTGTCGCGTGGCGAGGAGACTGGGGCACGCGACCTGCCAGGTGGGGGTCCGCAGAGGCTGGAGGACGGGGGCCGGTGGGGCTGGTGCTTGGGTGGCTGGGGACGGCCGGGCTGCAGGTCGAGGGCCGGGCCCACAGTTGCGGGGTCTGTGGGGTTCTGACAGTTCTGTGGTTTTGGTGATGTGGAGGCGGCACATGCCTCACTGAGGTGGGCTTTAGAGGGAAGGGGGTGCAGGCGTGGGAGACGATTGTATCGACAGGGATGAACAGTGTCTTGCCAAGATGGAAGTTGGGGAGCAGGATAATGGGAGTGCTGGGCAGCCCCAACACCCCTTGGAGCTGTCGGTCATGAGCTTGGAGAGACGTGTCCGCCTGCACATTTTTCTCCAACCACACTCACCTTTCTGCGTCAGGTGTCGCCTCGACAGCATTGGGTTTGCTGGAGTCAGGCTGTTGGCGAAGCAGTAGAGGAGGTGTCTTGCTCACACAGGAGGCTGTGGAGTGTATGATGATAAGGGGCCAGGAGGCGTTTGTGGGGTCCTGCCGTCGGGAGGTTAGGGTCATGGAGGGAGTGAGGCGGGAAGGTCGAGATGGCGTCGGGTCATGGAGAATGTGCAGGTCTTGGGGGCTGGGGCAGCTTTGGAAGCAGCAGCATCTCGCCCAAGACCTCAGATGGGGCTGGTGTGGGGGACGGTGAGTGGGGAGCTCAGCCAGAGACCCAAGAGCAGCTGTGTGACCAGGCCGTGGACCGCAGCCTGGGGCCCTGGGCCTGGCTGTCTGATGACCTGAGATCCACGTCTGGGGTCTGGAAACAGCAGTGAGGACAAGAAGGGGGTCCCATCCCTGCTCCAGAGCCAGCAGGGAGGCGGCTGAGGGAGGGAGACAGTCTCATCCTCTGGGAGAGTTAGGTCTCCATTAGACCAGGGAGGGGAAGAGGGGGCCGTCATGAGTCTGCTGGTGGTGAACTTGCAGTTCCAAATGGTTGAGCCATTCCAGAATTTGAGAAGAGGCCTGAGATAGGACTTGGAGTTTGGGAGAAAGCCAGGGTGTGGAGTCACCGTGAAATTGTGGCTTTGAAGGAGCTCAGACAGTATAGCGCCCACCTGCAATGCAGGAGACCTGGGTTCAACCCTGGGTCGGGAAGATCCCCTGGAGAAGGAAACAGCAACCCACTGCAGTATTCCTGCCTGGAGAATCCCATGGACAGAGGAGCCTGGTGGGCTGCAGTCCATGGGGTTGCACAGTGCTGGACACGACCGAGCGACTGACACTTGGAGCAGAGGGCCACGGGGCAGTAGGCTGGCCGTGGGCGACAGTGTCCGTGTGTGGCTCTAGGAGGTTGCTCTTGTTTTATATGTGCAGGAGCGTCAGAGTCGGGTCCGTGCAGGTTCCTTGACTGCCTTTTGTGTGTCCCTCCTGTGTTAGAATCACTCGCTGGCCTTGCCCTGCTCTGAGCTCCAAGGGCAGGCGGCGAGGTGGCTGCATGTACCTTTGCTGTCTCCGCAGCTGACGCACTGGTGGCCCGTCTCCTTCAGCAGCTGTGGGTGAAGGGGGAGCACGACTCAGTATGTGGCCCCTTCCTGAGCCGTGCCCCACACTACATCTCATTTGCGGAAACAGTGTTATGATGTCAGCATCTGTTATTGTGAATTTCCTTCTAAAATTGAATGGGAAACTGGCAGTTGATATGGTGCACAGATTTTCTTTAGCTTAGTGAAAATAAACTGTGTTAGAACCACACTGTGGGAAAACTGTAAGGAGACTCCAAGCTGTCCTCCAGGCAGGAAAATGGGGGGCCTTGCTGCTCAGTTGCCACATGGGCGCAGAATGCCAGCCTGGCACCCTGACACTCCTGCCTGACTCAGCACATCCAAGGTCAGTGTTCTGACGAGAGTCTCCAGCTCGTAGAACCCACTCAGTGTGCTCTCCTCTCAGAGCCAGCCCCCTCAGTGCCCCCTGTCCCTCCTCTCTAAAGTGCCTTTGATCTTGAGGACCCTGACGGCTCTGCTGGGTATATACTCAACACCACCGTTGAAGCAATTGTTTTTCAATACTAAGTGAATGAGCTTAGTTAAATAGAAAGCCACTGTTGTTTTTGAGAGAGACTGCTTGTCTAGTTGTCTCCTGTATGCAAAAGATAGAGTAACCCAGTGATTCTCAGCGTCACACAGTCAAAAGGTGTTTTAAAAATTAAAAAGATGTATGCACACCTTTGTCTGATAGTACCTGCTTTCTTTCCAAGGATGAAGAGTGTTTTATCATATTGTAATCAACCAGTTTTGTTGGAAATTTAACTTGTTTTCCAGATTTTCAGTATTAAAATTGAAAACTTAGTCCATTAATTCATGGGACAGTGTGGGATATAAACATTAAATGTAAAGAGTTCAAGGTTCAGCTGGAATGGTCTCTTAGCATTACAGGTTGTAAGTTGTCGCCTGTTCACAGTGGAGGAGGAAGCAGGTAGGTAGAAATGTGACCTTAATTAGAAGTCTAATGTACTGATCTTTTGCTTCATCATAGTAAAAAATAGTTTGTCTTAGTGCTCTATTTTAAAAATAATTCTGATTGACTTTTAAGCTGTATTACTTCTGTGGTGCTGATTTACCAGAACTTTTTCAAATTAAAATTAAATGCTGTTATATTGTTCTTGCTGAGTTCTCCATGATTATCCCTTTGTGTGTGTGTTTGATCTTCTCTTGTAAGCACATTGGTCATGTTGGATCAGGCCCCCCCGCCCCCGCCCCGATGACCTCATTTTCCCTCGATCTTTTCTTTAAAGGTGCATTTCCACATGACCTTCCAAAGTCCTTGTGATGAGGACTCCGGGGTGTGAAGTTGAGAGGGGGCTGCAGTTCAGCCCTTGGCACCTGGCCGTCCGAGATCTTCTTGGACGTGTTTGGCAGGATATTTTAGTGGAGGGAATTGCATGCAGCCATAGAGTGGTCACTCTTATGAGGGCGTTTTTTTACCTCCCAAATCAAAATCAGTATAAGGCTCATGTATGAAACAGCTTAAACATGCAGGGTGTGAAACTAGCACCTGGCTTTTTCCCTATTTTTGAAATTAGTTGACTACTGTTCTTCTGGTAAGTTGATGGGAATTGTGCTTCTTAAAGACGACACATCTCGGCTTAGCAGGTTGTCGAGTAGATTATTCTGTGTTACAGCACAGAATAACCAGCACAAATAGCCAACACAGTGTATGTGCATTTTCTTTTCTCTGCCCCCTTCACTTCGTCTCCCGCCTCTCTTCCTCATGATCCTAGAGGATTTGGATATAAATTTGTGTTTTATTGGCGTTGGAAAATGTAACTCGGATTACATAACCTGGATCACCTGCATATGGATGTCAAAAAGATTTCTTATTGTAGAGGGATTAATATCTTCTTTGGTGTGAAGTATTTTATTTCTAATAAGAATTTGCCGTTGAAATGGAAGCATCTGCTTGTGCTATTGTGCACTGCGGACAAAAGTTCTCTCCCCTGTCCCTTTATGGAATTGTATCAGTGCACACATGCAGCCTTTGCTGAAGTGTAAGCTGAACGTATTGTGTGTGTACTCCGTGTGACGTGCCCCTCTCCAGGCGGGTTCGGGGTGAAGCCAAGTGTAACGAGTGGTGTTTTCCTCACAGTGCCCTTGCTGCCAGTCCCGAGCCAGCCGAGACCTGCGGTGGGACCCCAGAGATTCCCAGTGAGTAGCAGCTGCTCCTCCTGCTCTCGTAGGGATGAGCACACGCTCACCAGGAAGTACTAATGCGCAAATGCAAGTGGTTCCAGCCAAATACAAGTTTAAGGGCTTGTAAATATTGACAGTGATTTTTGCAGTGGAGAGTATTTGTTAAAAGCTTAAGGCCAATGGATTTTTGAGAATAGAATTAATTTTGTTTAACTGTAAAATTGTTGAATCAGGATCATCAGTAGACTGCCTTTTGTCTTAAAGAATATGAATTTTGATTTTATTATTGCCTTATGTTAGGTGAGGAAGGGCCTTTATTATCTGTGTGTGTGGAGCCATGTGTGCACTTGGCTAAGTGTGAGTGTGTGTATGCAGTTTTAGGGAGTAATAATGAGATGACTACTTTTTAAAAAAAAAAACTCTCAAAGGTCTTCATGAGCCATTGGTTTTATATGTTAAAAATGCAGGTTTTCTTTTTAAAGTATCTTTAAGACACCCCTCCCCCAACTCTCCTATTGTTTCCATAATTTTATCCATTCTTCTGATAATGTTTTAATTAGAAGAAAAATGTCCATTAAATAGTTATCTGTTTAAATAAGTAAATTTCATTTTATTTGACTTTTTGGTTTGATTTGTAGTTAGTTCATAGTTTTATTAAATCAGTGAGAATGTGTTCTAAGAACAATTTGAGGGAAAAAAAGGACCAGACCATAACATTTTAGTTTGTATATAAAACAGATGTAGTTTTGTTGATGCTAAATAATCTGATTTCCTGGGAATATCTAAATGACCTGTTTGACCCTAGCTTTGATCCTCAGTAGCTAATGTGTTTATGTGGGTCATAAATGAAAGATCTCTATGTGTAGTGATTATTATGATTATTCAAAAAGACAGTATTGGATTTAAAGGTTCAGAGTATTTTTTTAGGAACTTTCTTCATTTGTAGTTAATCTTTATGACATAATATTGTTTCTAGAACTGATTCTTACTGGTTTCTTATGCTTTATGAGCTAATTTTTAAAAATTAACCAATCAAGTTCTAAAAACTAGTTATTTTAAAAATTAGATGACATTTATTGAGTACACATCCTTATTTGAAATAGTTGTCTAAATAGTTAAGATTTATTACTTGAATTACTCAAGGATAAGTATGTGTGATTTTAATTTAACTGCTAGTTATTATAAAGCACTAACATTTTAAAAATGTACTTTTTCTTATTTTCAGGGTTGTGAGATTTTGCATTAGAATCATAATTGATTTTGTGTTTATATTTTATTAGAAATGCAAAGATAAAATTTGATGAAAGCAAATGTAGTTTAAAATTATAAAGGTTGTGTGTAAATATAAAATTAGAATAATCATTTGCAGTTTTCATCTACTTATAATTTCAGTTGTGCAAACAATTATATCTGATACTAAAAGAAACCTTGTATTACTTGAGGACATTACAAAGAGGATAATAAAATAATTTCTTTGTGAGAAATTAAACTAAAAGTTACATAATACTCTGAGGGTGGTAAATGTTACTGAACTGCTCTTGGAGCAGTTTTTGCAAGGTGTAATGATTTGTTCTTATTTTTAAGGTGGGTTATGTGTACAGGTGATGGGAAATAGGCTTGAGATCAGTCACATGTGTGATATAATCTGAGGAATAGTTACTGCCATTTAACATGTATCTTTAAGCCCCCAGTACTGGTTCTTAAACTGCGTGCTCAGTCGCTCAGTTGTGTCTGACTCTTTGCACCCCATGGACTATAGTCCGCCAGGCCCCTCTGTCCATGGAATTCTCCAGGCCAGAATACTGAAATGGGTAGCAATTCCCTTCTCCAGGGGATCATCCCAATCCAGGGATCGAACCTGCATCTCCTGCATTGGCAGGCAGATTAAGTTATAATAAAGGTTTTTTTTTTAAAGTTCATCAAAATATTATTGGGAAGGAGACTAACTCTAGGCTGGCTCCTATTGTTTTATGTACACCAGATTTTTTTTTTAATTTTAAAATATCTTTATGAGTATTAATTTTTTTATAATTTTAAAGGTTATTTTCCTTTTACAGTTATTACAGAATTTTGGCTATATTCCCCATGTTGTGCAATACATCCTTGAACCTATATTACACCCAGCGGTTTGTATCTCCCACTCTCCCACCCTTATTCCATCCCCACCGCCCTCTGCCTTGTAACCACTGGCTTATTCTCCATATTTGTGAGTCTGCTGCTTTTTTGTTCTATTCACTAGTCTGTTGTGTTTTTTAGATTCCACATATATGTGATTTCATACAGTGTTTGTCTTTCCCTGTCTGATTTATTTCACTTAGCGTAATAGTCTCCACATCCACCCATATTGCTGCAGATGGCAGAATGCTGTTTTTTTTTAATGGCAAAGTACTGTTCCATTGTGTGTGTATGTATACACATCTTCTTTATCCATCATCTGTTGATGGACATTTAGACTGCTTCCAGTCTCGGCAACTGTAAATACTGCTGCTATGAACATTGGGGTGCATTTATCTATTTTGAGTAACATTATTTGTTTGCTTTTCTACTAATAGGTTCTACTTTGTTTTTAATCAGTGTAGATGAGGTTTCGTGACCGTTCAGTGAGTCTCTCACGTGCTGAATGTTCTGCATAGTGCTAGTCCTTGAGCCATAAAGTGCATGAGCACGGCCCACGCAGCCCGGCTGTGTCCTGAAGAGCGAGCCCTGCTGGGGCTTAAGGAGGCCCCGTGGCGATCTTGTCCTGGTGGCAGTGTGCCCTGCGCGCTCTTCCTTGCTGCTTTTCATTAGGCGAGTTTACTCTTTATTTGTTAAACTCAATTTTGCTTTGTAAAGTGGCCATACACACACCAGCTGATAAAGCAAATGTCAGGCAACCTAGCTTCAGTTTCATCATAGGGTCTGTTTGAATCATTGTGCTTTCTTGGTACACAGAGAAGATTAGAATTACAGAATGTGTCAGGGGGAGCAGAGTTCATTTTGATCTCGTCTTTCCCCCGCCTAAACCCCTTTCGTAAGTTTCCATTGCTCTGCTTCTGGACAGCTTCGTACACTTACTCGTGTTGTGTGAGAAGTGGATTCTTGTCTCTACAGAGGCCCGGTCATCCTGCACTTGGTGGAACCAGCCTGACCCTAGACCTTGTGTGCGCAAGTCCAGATGATAGTTGTTCATCAACTATAGTTAGTGGGTGTGTGCAGGGATGTGACTGTGAGCTGCCTTGCTGTTTGTTAGGCACCTGCGTGAAAAGAGTATAGAGAAGGGGTGTATCCTTTAAGTTTTTACCTTTGGTTATTTTCAGGGACATACATGAATTTGCACAGTAGGATTCCATAATCCACATTTAATTGTACAAGAATTCAGGTCTACTCAGCTGACTAGAGAGTAAAAAAGGGAGACAGTAGTTGCAAGTAGCTCTAGGTTTTCAGATTTTAACAGGATTAGGATACAGTTGGTATTAATGTGAAGGTATTCCTTCTCTTGTCTCTCAACACTAGTAAACTTTACTTTCCTTTGTTCTTAAAAATACTTGTTTTTGGCTGGGTCTTTGATGGTACGCACAGGCTTTCTCTAGTTGCGGTGAGTAGAGGCTTCTCGTTGCAGTGGCTTCTCTTGTTTCGTAGCGCGAGCTCTGGGCACACAGGATTAGTAGATGCAGCATGCAGGCTCAGTGGTTGTGGCCCCAGGCTCTAGAGCAGGGGCTCACTCGTTGTGGCACATGGGCTTCCCTATGGCTTGTGGGATCTTCCCAGACCAGGGATCGAGCCCACGTCCCCTGCATTGGCAGGGAGAGTTTTAACTCCTGGGCCACCAGGGAAGTCCTTGACTTTACTTTCTTAATAGTCTTTTTTGTTGGACAATTTTGTAAAAACTTGAGAATTCTCAATTTAGAACTAGTGTGCCTAGAAACTGTAGTAAGTGATAATATCTCTAGTCTTATGATTAAACAATTATGGAGAACTCTAGGGGCCTGGCGTGCTACAGCCGTGAGGTCGAGGAGTTGGACATGACTGAGAGAGCACACACAGCTATGCTTAATGTAGCAGTACTAATATTTTAACTTCCTGTTAATGAATTTTATTTATAGAATTGAATAAGTATTTTCTAAAAACAAAGATTTGAATGTCAGAGTAATATCATAAGAGAAGGATTCCTTACTTTTGATCATTTTAGAAATTACTACTTAAGCTCTCAGCAGTGAGCTGGCACTTCTTTTGTCATGTTAGTCTCTGCGTCCAGATGGGATTTTTCCTTCATTCCTTCATTTATGGAATTTAGTGAAGTGCTTTGTAATTTGAGTTTCTGTCTAAAAATTAGATTCACGTATTTAATTTTAGTTACAGATATAGCCATTAGTTCTTTCTTCTCACTTAAGCTTTTATTCCCAGGAATATTTTATTTTTCAGATCAGAATTGTGAGTCTTTTTTTAAGCTATAATGTATCTCAGTTGATAGCACACATCAGAGAATGAATCTTTTTCATGCTTACTTTCATATCAGAATATTAATCTGTTGAATGTAAAATGTACCTTAGAAATAATGACTGCTTACAAGAGCGGACAGACACAGGAAGAAAGCATGTGCTCAGGAATTCAGAGAGCCTGTCGGTCCCTCCTCCATTTCAGCTCCTTCTGTTCTGTCCAGTCCTGCCATCTAGCCACCTACCATCCCCCAGTCCACTCCAGAAGCATTTCCTTTCCTGCCAGGGCCTTTGAGTGGAATTTCACAGGATACTGGTGGTTTTCTCTTTTGTTTTGTTTTTGCAAGGGAGTGGCGCTGGGGAGACTGGTTTACCTTTCTGCAAGTAGGCTTCTGTTTTTGTGCCTACTGGAATTCTGTTTTGAGTCCCATTGTCTTTGTTTTACACATTAGTTTAATAGGTTTCTCTTTCCACCAAGGCTGTTTCTGATGTTTTTGTTGTTAAAGTTTTAAGTCTTTTCCTTATCCATAAGTATGGCTATCCATTTATGTATTTGTCCTCAGATTTATTTTTAAGAGTTTGTCCACTTAAAAAAGTAAC